CAGACTAACTGCCCTTGTCATATTTATTGCAATCTACTTTAATTAACCCCCCAAAACAAAGATTACATTTCCTCAAACTTGTTTTAGTGAATGTTTATTATTTAGCTTATTGGATATTTTCTCTAAAATATTTTTTTCCAAAACTCAAACCATTTTATGCCAATAAAATTTTTCCTTTTTAATTTATTATGATTTTTTTTCCTCAAGAGTACTAATTATTTTGGATATCACAGTTACAGCCTAATAGCCAGTTGACTTTGTTCTTTCAGAGATGCAATTGTTCTTGGAATAAACATGGGGTTTTGCAAAGCACAGGTGGATAAAGTATGGACCTCATGCTGCTGCTGCTTCTGTCATAGTACTTAATAAAACAGAAATACTAAATAGAGAAATTAGGAAAAAACCCACCAAATAAAGGATGAACAATTAAAATGATTAGAATTGTGTAAAACATGGTAAGTTTTTTTAAGTTATATAAAAGTGATTGAAATCCTGATTTGATTCTGTAATTCATTATAGTAATGCATTAGTTACAAAAATGAACTGGATTTTTTGTAGACATGCTCTTTGTTCTGGGCTGGAATGCAATATAAGATGAGATGTTCTTTTGCCACATCCATAATGATTTGATTATAAGGACATAAAAGAGGTCCATCAGAAAGTATCATGGAGTGTTACTTATACCCACTTATTCATCTCAATAAAGACTATGCCAAATGAAGTGACCAGTTACACATCCCAGAAAACTGTAAGCTTACAAATGTTAGCCTGAGAAGAAAAGACATACCACACATTTGCTGAGCATACACTAAAACAACAACAACAACAAAATCAACCTATTGTCTGTAAAGCAAAATTCAGAAAAACTATATATGAAGTAATTTTCTATATTATTAATGAAATTCTTGGACTTTTCTTCTTACCTTCTCCTTGTCTGCATGTACCTCTCCTCTTCTCTCCATGTCTTTCTTCTCTTTTTATCTATCATCTTCCTTTCCTATCCTATTTTCTTTAGCCTTTACTACTTTGCATCTCCATTCTCCTTTGCCTCCTCTTCCCTATGGACTTGTTTCTTCTTCCTAGAGCTGTGCTTCAGGCTGAGCATTGTAATCTCCAAATGGATGCATATGTAGATGCAAAATTCCACGAGTTTCATTTCAGAGTTTCATAAAGATGAGAATTCTTGGATATATATCATGCAGCTGAGAGAGCTACGAAATAGATGCCAGTTAGGATTCTAGTTAGTTTCCTGGCTCTTTTCAGATTCTCTTTTCTCATGGAGAAAATACAGAAAAACACTTGTTCAGTCTGGAAACTCAACTTTGAGTCTAAGGTCTAGTAGAGTAGAAAGTCACCTAACTGAAGGGGGATGTCAAATCTTATGTATAGATCATCTCACTCTGAGAAGATTGGCTCAACAAAGAGAATCCCCAGAGTAACTGATTCTTCAAAATCAAAATATTGAGAGCCTTGGAAGAAGAAAAAAAACATTTTATGGAAGGAATAACATTATTGTACCATTATTCATTCATAACTGATGATGATATGATTTATAGATTAGTATAGGCAGAAGAAGCCTGAAGCAATTTGTCTTGAGGAGAATGGGAAAGGGTGGTATGAGACTAGGAAAGGGCTGGATTAATTCCAGTGTCTGAGAGGATAGGTCTGAATGATTTTTCAGAACTATGAAATGAGAATGGGGAGGAGGTGGGTAGGGGTCCTGCCTTGTGGTCTGAAGAGAAAAGCCAGACAAAAACAGATGGGCAACTTCGATTTTTTAATAGGTAAGTCATAACATTTTTGGCTATGAGCATGTTTTCTTATGACGAGAGGAAAGCAAGAATCTGTGTTCTAATCTTTCCTGATGCTTTTCTGGGGTTTTACAGGCGTTATTACACTGTATCTCATTCCTTCATCCGTGAAACAGATGATTTATATAATCCATTTTGCTAAAGGGTTGCATCCACTTTAATGGCTATTAGAATTAGTGAGTTTTAAAATACAAAACTATTATTTTTTAGCACAATTTTTTTATTGTGATAAAATATGCATAAACTAATAATTATCATTTAACCATTTTAAGTGTAGAGTTCAGTGGCATTAACTTCATTCACATTTTTGTGCAACTGTCGTCTCTACCCCTCTCCAGAACTTTCTCATCTCTCCAGCTGAAACTCTGTACCCATAATACATGAACTCCACATTCCTTCTGCAAATCCTGGCAACCACCATTCTATTTTCTGACTCTATGATTTTGACTACTCCAGATACCTCACATAAGTAGAACCATATTATTGTCCTTTGTGTCTGATTTGTGTCACTTAGCATAATGTTCAAAGTACATCCATGTGGTAGCTTAAGTCAGAATCTCATTTCTTTTCAAGGCTGAATAATATTCCTCTGTATGTATATACCACATTTTTAAAAAATTCCATTCCTCATCCCTCAATGAGCTAGTTTTCCCCTTCTGGTTTTTGTGAATAATGCTTCTGTGAACATTGCCATGCTAAACATACTCTATTTTTAAAAGAATTATAACCCTGGTTAATGAAGCATACTGCTTTGTACAGGTTTGGCAAGAATAAATATAAGCAATTCCAATAGATTTAAAGTAATATCATTAATAAGCACCAGATTTAGTTTGAAAGGTGTTTCATAAAATGAGAATTGAATATTTAAACAGCCCAGTTGATACTCGTACTTAACACTATTATAACTTAACGTCTGGGCTCAGTCATGCAAAATCATATTAAAGTATCAAATGCCACAAATTAACATTTTCTTCTTTCTCTTAAGACTCCTTTTAAGGATTCTTTGTGACCTTCCATTCAGCAAGCTTCTTGCTCTTCCTAGGTCCTCCCTCATAGCCAGGGATGCGGGAATGCACACACGTTTGTAGAATATAATATTTAAGGTAAAATTGTCATCAATGAATGTTCGGTTCAGCACTAAAGCCCTTCATTTCCTAATGGGTATAGGTGCATCTCTGAAGATTCAGAGAATTCTCGTCCACGTTCTGGTATGTTTCCAGTTTTAGGAAGCAGTGAGTGGTGGAGAGAGGGGAAATTCTAAGAAACAGGGCATGGATATCTGAGAGGGGTTTCTAGCTTTCAGTGCAGAGAGGAACAAGAAGGAAAGACTTGTAATTCTTCCATTCCTTTGTGGAATAATTTAGTGTCTTTCATGTAGCTTCTAGGATTATTACTGCAACTTGGCAAGCTTAACAAATAAAATGAAGATAAAACAAAGGGAGAAGACCGTGCTTTTCTCTGCAATAATAGAAGAATTTGTGTTAAATTTTAAAAAGGAGTTAAAAACCTGTAGTGTAGTTATTTGCTAAATTCTCCTTATACTCATAATTGGAATGTCCTTTGATCTAACAGTGAAATTTGAATTAGAGGAGAAAGAGAATTATGTTTTTCATTTTTGAATTGGACTCTCCAGATGCCCCTCTACATGCCTTCTTTAATCAGAGCCAGATCTAGGAAAATTCTAGGGTAAATAAAATGAAACAGTGAAAATGTGCTGAAATTGTCAAGTGTTTTCCACAGATCCATATGTGTCCTACTGAGCTGGACCAAGCCTCAATTTTGGAATCAAAGTCTTAACTTGTTTTTTTTTTTTTTAATTTGTGACCATTTGTACTTCAGCACCTTATAGCTGATTTAATACTTTAAGAATTTTAGAAAATAATTCTACACTAGTAAAAGATCCTGTACGTAGTTTAAAATGTACAGAATGAACATGGGAAACTAGTAATATACGAAATTGCTAAAGTCTTTTTTTATCAATCCTTGAGATTTCTGATTAATTACAATTTATTTAGCATATGACTTTGGTCTAAACACTCAACTTCCTTGGTCATCAGTATTTTTTCTTAATAAATCAAAAAGCTTGCACTAAATTACTTCTAACATTCTTCTTAACTTTTATTTTATAAATGTTTCCTCAGTTCGAATCGATTTTTGATGGGCAATGTATCTTTTACATGGTACACATAAGGATTATATTAATCTTTGGAGACACTAAGTCACATTAGGTAACTACATGGTAGGGAAACATATCTATGCTAATTATTTTTGAGACTGTCTAGTTGTTTTAGTGGTAGCTAACCAGTTACACTACATTCTGTCTCCAGAATTCACCTAGGGTTCTTTTTAAATTTTTCATATTTAAATTTTAATAAAATATTTTTATATCTATCCTATAGATTTAGTACATAAGCATATACTAGAGTCTCCCCCCTTCTATACAAAAGTTGCTGTCTTTGTGTGTATATGTGTGCATATGCATTCTATCCCATTTTACAAATTTTTGTGGGGATGTGGAAGTCATATTTAAATTTCTTGTCATTATCTTTGGTATGGGTCTGAATGATATAAGGTTCCACTGAGAGTTCTTGAGCACTTTGGGGCAAGTTTTACGTGGAATCATATTACCTCATCTCAACACTCCAGAATTTTTCAAAGCACAACAAAATTTTAAATGTACTTTCAAATATTTGAGGATAGTTTTTTTTTTTTAATACAGTATTTCTGCTTTTTCTAATCAGCAAGGACATTTTCCTCTGGGTGATAAATATGTTAGTATGCTTTTACAGAGTCAGTAAATCAGGAACAATAATAATAATTTTAAAAAGCCCTGTCCACAAGTAACTTTGGATTGCAATTTATGTAATGACATCACGTCCCTCCTTTAACTATAGCAAAGAAGTCTCATTTACCTGCTAGTCTGATAAACACTGATTTTTTTTTCAGGTTGCAATTTAATATAGGCACATAATATATGACATTTGTATTCAAACAAGATAATAAAGAGAAGATGAAGCACTAATAGGGCAAATGACAAGATAATATATGCTGTAATGGGTAAGACAGAGAGTGGACAGATGACAAGACCACATTTCTTTTTCAGATACAGTCTGAATTTTTCAACGTGTACATTTGCAGGCAATGAAGACATCTCAAAACTCAAGTGGCAACAAGAGAGCTTACTGCTCTAGTTTTAGTATCTTGCATCCATGAATATTTATCCCAGCAGCACCACACTGACTGCTTCTCCTGGCTTATTGCAGTCATTTGCTGTACATGCCACCAAAGTTAAGTCTGTATGTTTTTCTGTCATGTGGCATGCTATTTTGTGACTTAATGAATCTGTGTGCCTCAATTAATGCTGCACTTAGTTTTGGCTGAGCCAGAAGTGGTTTTCTCTTTTCTGAAAAAAAAAAGTTGTGACTTTTAATAACTCGATGTAAATATAAAATCAATTTAACTTTTAGTAGTAATTTCTTTTCAACTCAATATACTTATTTTATCCAAGGTGTCTATATTCACATACATACCACTATTAAGATACAATTGTTATTTTAACCTCTGTTTGCCATTTAATCAAAATCTGATTCTAGCAATCAAAGTTGACTTAATCAAGAGTCCTAAGGAAGTTATTATAAGTAAAAGCTATACAAGTTGGATTGCTATACAGACCTGCTTTGAAACTTAAACTCACAAACTTCACCCAGATTAAGGATGTGTTTGAGTTATGCATAACAGTATATGCATCAATAAAGTATGCATCAGTAAAATATCAAAGTCAACTTTGTCTATTTTCCTTTTTGTTTCAAAAGCAATGATTGATACCATTCTAATTTTCAGTTATTACTCAATGTTCATAATCACATTGTTTGCCAAATTAGTTGTTATAGAATTAGCTTAGTTTGACAGTGGAAATAATACATAATCAATAATTATCCAATATAGGAATTTCTCCAGACTTTATAGAGAGTAGTTATTT